ATCCATTTTGGTCTTTTCTTCCTCTTCTGTCTTTGCAATGACCGTTTGCACTCTTCCTGGATGATACCCTTGATATCCTCCCACAACTCATCTGGCTTTCGCTCATTAGTGTTCAAAGCCTCAAACTCTCTCCAGCCTCACTTCTGTCACTAAGTCCATAGTTTCTACTTCCTTGTTCCCAGTTTTTGCATTACCATCATCAATTATTAATGAATCTTGGTTGCATGTCCCATCATTTTCAGACTGCAAAAGTGGGTAGAAATCTTTTCTTGGCTTTAGTTGTCGATGCATATATTTAAATAAGTGATATTGGCAGGTCTTCTTGTTTGCATATGGATAGTATCCTGTCATAACATTATACTTCAGGATGGATATAGAAATGGTACTTTCTTACTTTGAATGCAACTTTTCCACTTTTTCATGGAAAAATTAATTTTTCAACAACTTGGAACACTTGATTGTGCTCATGCAAAACCTATACCTAGACCAAAAAAAGCAGTTGTCTTAATATAACAAGGGAACACTGCATGGCTCAAAATCAAGGATTGTGTCAGAAATGTGTCCTTTCTCCATACCTTTTCAATTTTTATGTTGAACAGATTGAGAGGCTAGATTTTTATGAACAATGTGGCATCACAATTGAAGACATAAATAACCTGCATTATGCAGATGATACAGCCTTGCTTATGGCAACTAAGGATGGCCTCAGGCACTTGCTGCAGATCAAGGACTGCAGCCTTCACTATGGATTGTATTTCAGCATCAAGAAAGATCCTTACCACCAGGCCAATAGGTAGCATTATGATAGACGGAGAAAAGATTGACGTTGTTAATGATTTGGAGTCTCCCTCCACTCTGGAAGTTGGCTGGCTGACATTGTGGTGGTGGTGGTCTCACCTTTGTAAGAAGTTTCTGGGGTCCATTTGTCTGTTACTGTTCTGACTGGGGGCAAAGGCCAAGGCCTACTCAAGGGTGTGACTTTAAAATCCTGTAGGGCCCTCAGGCCTGCTGTCTTCAAACCTATTTTTAATTGTTTTTGGTCATTCTTCTAGGTCGTATAGACCTGGTCTGTCCATTTGCCGTACAGAGGTTAACGCATGGTGTCTGTGAAGCTGAACATTGACACTGATGTGTCAAATGTGAGAATGGTTACCCATGGTGGAGAGTGTTTGGTAAAGCTCCCCAATTAAAACAAGCTTGAAAGCAGGAGTGGCATCCACTTCTGAAATAGCTTGCCTACTGAACCCTATGAACCTGGAGAAAGAATGAAAGTTATACAGGTGTCCAGGTCTTTCATTCATAGGGTCAGTTTAAGTTGCCCATGACTCATAAGCATTTAACAATAATGATTTCATCTTACTCAGATCCAATCAACACTCTAGATAGCAGCAATCAAGAAATCAAGATGAGTTGCACTGAGACAATGTGCTGCCAAGGACCTCTCCAGAGTGCTAAAAAGCAACAATGTCAAGTCTTAAGACTAAGGTGCACTGACCCAAGCCAGTCTTCTCAACTGTAGTGATTAAAGGTGAACAGGAAAAAATTGATGTCTTTGAGTGGTGGTGCAGAAGTGTTGAACATACCAAACACAGACTGCCTAGAGAACAGGTCTGTCCTGGAGAGCATGAAACTTGTCCTGGAGAAATGTGGCATAAAGCTTGTTATAAATATGTTTTATGAATACAGTATGTTACGAATGTAGTAGATGCAACCTACAGTATGATTTTAGTATGTCTTTGAAATACTAATGAAAAAGGCAATTTTCAGGTCATTTTTGTCAAAATTTTGGTCCAAGTAGAAATTTTAGGTGTTTTATATTCCTAATATTAATGCTTTCAGATAATGAAGATAGCAAGCGTGAAACATTTCTTAAAACACTTGAATATACGCGATCCATAATTCTTTTTTAAAGGTTCTAGTAGTTCAGTTGATAATACTTAGGGTAGTTTACACTTCGGATATGTGGCTTCAGCGATCAAGTGGGTTTATAGAGCATTCCATTATTCACTGCCCACACAAACTACACTCTCTCCTTGCCTCAGTTGACTAATGTTTTAATGGGTAATTAACTGTAGGACAGCTCACTTCCAAATCCCCAAGAAACAATGAATAAATCAAACTGCTTCCTTACTTCACAAAATTTGGTCATTTCACTAGAATACAGAAGGGTGCAGGACAGTCACTATAGTGTTATTTCTCTTTTTTTATTTATTGTTTATATAGGGAACTTTGATGGCCTAGTGGTAAGAAGCTGCACTGGAGTCCCAAAGAAACATCATTCAAAGCCACCAGTTGCTTCTACAGGATAAAGCTTGGCATTCTCCACACATGCCTCTGAAAACCTGCTAACGGGTCAGATCCTACTCAACAGACCACCACGGTAACATATGGAGGGAGTAAGGCAATCCCATTACAAATAAGATTTCATTCTAACAGTATCTTTAAGTCAAATTTGTAGACAAAAATGAACAGGTGAATATGGTTCTTACTTAGCCTTTAGGGTGAGAAGCCCTGAAGGCATAGGTCACAAACTTTAAAGAGTGGTAGTTTAAACCCACCAGCCACTCCCTGGGAGATGAAACGGTCTGCATCAATAAATATTTATAGCCTTGGAAAGTCTATGGGGCGGTTTACCCTGTCCTGTAGGGCAAGAAAAGGCTCAAAAGGCTTTTCAATGATTTAAAAGCATGTGCAGCAATTATGATGAATTTGTTGTGGGGAAAAGTTTGGTTCCATCATTTCCCACTGAGAGCCAATTTATATAATGTTGTACATCATGGAATCAGAACTGACCCATAGCTGACCTTTCAGTGGGTTTTCAAAGGCAGTTAATCACACAGGAGACTGCCCATCCTTCTCCTGTGGAGCAGCTGGTGGCTTATGCCTTCAGGATTGCAGTGCAGCTACTTGCCACTAGACCACCAGTGCCTAATATTATTAAACAGCAAAAATTATGAGGGCATCCATAGGTGGGAACTCAACTGTACACAAAATTTTACACCCTATGTGAATTCTCTGTAGATCTTAGTAATAGAAAGACAAAAATACCCTCTTCAACAGCTTAACTTTCAGTATTACGCATTTCCAATTTTTCTATATCTATCAGACTGTAATTACTATAGAGTCATAACTCACTGTTACCCTCCAGCAGGTTTTCAGAGGCTGGAAATCACATGGGAAGAGACTGTCAATCTTTCTGCTGTGGACCAGCTGGTGGATTTGAACTCCATGCCTTTTTGGATGGCAGTGAAACTCCTTACCACTCAGCCACCAGAGCTCCTTTTTCTTTTTTTTTTTTTCTATAATTATATTTTATTAATTTTTACAGAGATTTTGGGCTTCTTTTTCAACAGCTTGCTTAACTTTTGATACTAGCCATTTCCAAAGATAATATTTTAATGTACTTGAGAAGAATCACTTTCTTGGGAATTCTAGAAATTGCATGGCTATTTTGAACTTTTTTAGCCTTTAACTTTCATCCTTACTTTATGTCTGATTTTAGAATGAGTGAACAGACAACTAGATGCACAAGTAATGAATTTTTAAATGTCGTAACTGTTATCAATGTCACTTTATTTCTGCTACAAAATTCACCAGAAAAAGGTACTGCAACATTCTAGTATAAAGCAAATCTTTAACCAAACAACATGGTATAGACCTTTTAAAAATATTCTTATTTTATCACAATTACTGCAAAGGGGGGGAAAAAAAATTCAAGTTCTAGTATCAGAACCAAGCTGCAGTTTCTGAGGTAGTAGAAACAGATGACATAAGTTTTTAAAATAAAGCAACAAGACCTCTAAAGAAATAGTTAACTTGTTGAAAATGTAAAAAATTAATGCCTTTGAAAGGGCACAAGCAGCTACATATCATTTCAAGAAAAGGTATTCTACTAAAGTAACTATACAGGTGGTGCAAGGATTATAGAAGAGCACTTTGGTTAAGTCTCTAGACTCTCTGGCTCTACCCATTCATAAATGAATTTCTATGTACAAATAAACACACAAATAGTTAAGATTATGACATATATTTCCAATCTTAAAAATAAAAATCAAGTTGTGGTCCTTTTATTCAAAAGGTAAGCATATCCATGCAGGAAGTCCAAATATCTTAAAAAGAATTAAAATTAAATTGCATATATCATATCCTTTCAATATTTTAAGATAGTCTATTGCTTTTAACAAGATTAGTATTCCATTTTTAATACAAATATGTCAAGAGTACATAAACACAAGTATACCCTGAAATACACCAGTGTTTAAACTTTGATTTCACACCATGCAAAGTCAATTATAACACACAAAAAATGGTAACAGCTATAAGCTGCAATTTTACATTTATACATTGGAAACGTTCATTTTCAAAAGCTGAACATAATTACCGTATTGTCTGTAACAGCTAAGCTTCAATTTAACTGTTGATACAGATAAAATTTACTATGAAAAACAATGATTTTATATTTGTCCACATTCTGTGATAGTAATTCTCCGACTAACCAACCCTTTTGGAGAACCAAATGATTCTATTTTTTTCACAGTATCCATGCCATCCTTAACAAACCCAAATACTACATGTTTAAAGTCCAAATGTTCTGCTTTTTTCAACGTTATGAAAAACTGAGAATTGTTGGTATCTCGGCCCCGATTTGCCATAGATAGTAAACCAGGACCAGTATGTTTCACATTAAAATTTTCATCTTCAAAATTATCTCCATAAATGGATCGTCCTCCTGTTCCATCATGTCTTGTAATATCTCCCCCCTGGAAAAAAATATTCCAATTAGTAGGATTTCTGAATAAAAATTATCCACTACAGGAGAAGATAACTTTCTTAATAGTTTGAAAATGAAGAGGTCTTCTTCCCACCCTCAATTTCTAATAGGTACCAAGGATATCAAATGTAAATTATTTGAAGTTGACAATAAACTATTGTGGGGAGATGTAGAATTATGGATGGTGCTAAAACTACATAAGGTATGGAAAAGCTACATGAATAAAGGGTTTGGGGAAGGGAAGCATTCAAATTTCCCAAGTCTGTGCAGTGCTTCCTTCTAGCCTTCAATTTTAATATATACAATTGATACTTACCTGACAAACAAAATCTGGAATTACTCTGTGGAAAATGGAGTTTTTGAATCCAAAGCCTTTCTCTCCAGTGCATAGTGCTCTGAAGTTCTCAGCCGTTTGAGGAACAATGTTTGAAAATAATTCCATGGTTATACGTCCTAGAGGTTCATCATCGGCACAAATATCAAAAAACACCACAGGATTTGTTTCCTTGGATAATTCTGCTGCGAGGGATACTTGTCCTTTCTGGAGTTTCAATAAATTCTGTTGGCATTCTTCAAATTTTTTCTTAAAACAATCAGCCATTTCTTTAGTTTTGAATCTTACTGCAAGCTGTTCCACTTTTGCTTCGCCATCTATTGAAGGGGGCGGGGCAACCCAACAACACAGTAATATTATTAGTAGTAATTTATAAGATGTATTATATATGTTATAGATAGATGATTAAAAAGTTTACAAAATTAAAAATAACTGACTATATGAACTTACCAGCATAATCTGAGGCAGTCCAAACTAAAGCATTATTTGAAACATTTAACGGCTTTAATTCCATTGTTTTGGTAATAACATGGTTTGCACACACTTTAAAGACCTGGTCTCTCCTCATTAGGATCCTGTAATAATTCTTCATTGTGTGCCAAAGAATCTTTATATCTCCAACACCACGTTCTTTCCACTGGCTGACATCTCGATCCCATCTATAAAGTTTGGCTCTCTCTTTAAATAAAATTTCTTCATCTTCTTCACCAGATTTTACTTCTACCTGTAAGAAGAAATTATTTATAAGCTGTTTCAATAGATGACAATGATACAAATTTAAACCTTTACATCGAGATATAAGATGCTGGCAGTTAGGACTATCTGTTTTGGATAAAGCAGTGTAAATTTGTGTTTTCTATTTTCTGTCCTTTTGGAAATTAAATGGCTTTCGTGATACAATTTTTAAAAGTCTATCATTGAAGAGAAGTATTAACTACTTACCGCAATTTAAAAACTACAAAGTAATTGTCTAAAACAACATTCTTTTCCAGAAAATCTATTACTTTTTATTGAAAAACTTCTTGCAAGCATAAAACTAAATTTTGTTCCTATCCTTTTAATCCATAGCCCTCAAGCCCGTCTTTCATTGTTTTTATTCAGACATTCCTCTAGGTCGTATAGCCCTGGTGTACAAGTTGCCATACAGCGGTAACTTGTCGTTGCTGTGAGGCCGAACACTGTGACACTGATGTGTCAAAAGTGTTAATGGTTGGTTACCCAATGCTGACAGAGAGTGGGGTGGAGCTCCCCGATTAAAACAAGCTTGGAAGAGGAGTGGCATCCACTTCTGTAACAGCTTGCCTCCGGAAACCCTATGAACTTGGACAAAGGATGAAAGACACCCAAGCGTTAAGGACTCTCCTTCATAGGGTCGCTATGAGTCGCCTGCGACTCAGTGGCACTTAACGACAACCACCACCACCACCCTCAGAATTATGCTAAGAACAATCCTGATATTTAACTAGATTTTAAGGATTATTTTAGTTACAGAATTTATGAAGCATGTATATACCAAATTTCAAAAATATTTGTTTTTATTATAAAAAGGGTTAACTTCTAATAAACAGCTTCTACTTCAAAATTATAAACACCCAGAAATGCATAGTTAATCCTACAAACTATAAATTTTAAACTGAAAATGAGAAATCCGTTTTTTTCATTTTTGAAAATTACCTCTGGTAATGACACTATTGGTTCAAAATGGATATCTTCATTATGTACTTCTTCATCACTACCATCTTCATCCTCACCAGTTTTACTTGTTGACTTTGTCCCAAAGACAGCTGCTCCAGTATTTGCCCACTGGAAATTTTTATCTGGTAAATAAATTAGGATTATTTAAACAGTACTTTAAAAAGCTCCTTATTAGAGAAGCTGTGGTATATTCGCACAAGGGACTACTATGCAGCACTAAAAAACAAGGAACTCATGAAATATACAAAATGGGTGACCCTGAAGGACATTATGTTGAGTGAAATATCTCAGTCACAAATACTGCATAATGCCACTGTTAGAAAACAGGACTGAGATCGGGGTTGAGGGGAAACTAAGAAAAGAGGAGATAAATAATGTATACTGCATTGAAACAGATGAGGGAGAAAACTGTTTAAAAGGGATTCATGATTAGACAGTATTTGCATGACAAGAGTCCAGAATAAAAGCTCCATGGTAAAGTGAACTGGGGCAGGGATTTTATAACAATGAAAGAATTTTTTTTTCTTTTCAAAGAGAAAAGCGAACTAGGGGGAAGGGTGGGCAGGGAGAAAACTTAGCAACAATGAATGAATGGAAATCCAAGTTCTATCAATTTTTTTTTAAAAAAGCCCTTTATTTCTTCTTGGATTACATTATTATACCTTTAGTTTTCAACCATGTGCCATATACTTATTCCAGTAAATGTATTTAAATTATTCTTGCTCATTATATAAGCACATAATACTTTACACACTTGGTACTGTTTATTCTTGGAGATAAAAAGTTAAAAGTCTTTGCTTATAGGAAAAGCAGTACTAAACATCCAGAAAGGAAAGATTTTTTTAAAAATGCAGTACCAAAAAATATAGTGGATTAAAAGGGGGGGAAAAATTGCAATACCTCAACACTTTCCATTTAGCTCATTTCTCCTCCCAGATAATTAACAGTATGAAAGTTTTTTTCTTTTTACCACTTTAGGAATATTACTTTTTATCTTCTAATACTCTCAAAATGGTCAAATCTTTGTGTTCCAAAGTCAGTCACAGCATCCTTATGTTTAAAGCTTCTTAACTTCAAAGTATCAACATAATTTATAATAAACTATGAGAAAACCCTTTTTATTAAGGAATACTACCAGGCTAACTGACTGGAAGAGATCTCTATTTATTCCCATTCCAAAAATAAATGACCTAAGAGTGTGGAAATTAGTGAACAATATCACTATTACACACACAAGCAAAATCCTACTGAAGATCCAAAAACGACTGGAACAGTACATGGTCAGAGAACTGCCAGAAGTACAGGATGGAATTAAAAGGGGTCATGGCACTACAGACATTATCGCCAACATTAGATGGAACTTGGCTGAAAGCAGAGAGTACCAGAAGAATGTCTGTTTCATAGATGATGCAAAGGCATTGGACTTGTGAATCACAACAAATTGTGGCTGACTTGAGAAGAATGGGAATCCCACAACACCTGATTGTGTGCATGTGAAACCTAAAATCAGGAAGCAGTCCTCAGAACAGAGCAAGGAAACACTGCATGGTTCAAAATCAGAAAAGTCTATGTCCTGTCTCTATACCTTTTTAGTCTACATGCAGAACAGATCATTTGGGAGGCTGGGCTTTTATGAGAAGGAATGTGGCATCAGGATTGGAGGAAAACTCATCAAAACCTATACTATGCAGATAACACGACCTTGCTTGCTGAAATGAGGATCTGTTGGTCCAAGACCTACTTACTGTAGGTCAAAGACTGTAGTCTTCAATATGGATTGAAGCTCAACATCAAGAAGACAAAGATTCTCACCACTGGGCCAATTGACAGCATCATGATGGATGGAATAAAGTCTGAGGTTAAGAACTTTGACTTGCTCAGCTCCACAGTCATCACTCTTAGCACCAGCATTCAGGAAATCAAAAGACCAACGGCACTGGGAAAATCTGCTGTTAGGAACCTCTCGAGAAGCAATGATGTCAGTCTAGAGACTAAGGTGAGCTTGATCCAGGCCATGGTCTCTGTAATTACTTGCTATCCATCAGAAAGCTGGTCAACAACTAAGAATGACAAAAGAATTATTGATGCCTCTGAGTTATTTTGCTGCAGACAAGTACTAATCATACCATGGACCGCTAAGAAAACAAATAAGTCTGTCTTGGAGAGGGTGAAACTAGGCTGCTCCTTGGAAGCAAGGATTCTGAAGCTGCATCTCACATACTTTGGGCATGTGGTCAAGAGGACCAGTACCTGGAGAAGGACATCATGCTTGGAAGGGTGGAGGACAGCTCAGGAAAGAAAGACGCCAGATGAGATGGACGGATACAGTAACTGGGGTAATAAGTGTAGGTGTGTCAGAGTCGTCTAGACTGGCACAATAGTACACAGGGTCTCTATGATTTGCAGGTGACTAGACAGCACATAACAACAAAGAGGTAACCACAGAAGCCCTTCCTTAATAAAATTATGAAATAGAGAGGTGGGGCAAAGATGTCACTTCCAATTATAACACTGTGGCAAAGGACTTGTTCTGTTACAGTTATGCTTGATTCTATAACACAAATCTCTCTCCTCTTAATCTTACCTTTAGAACCAAAAGCAAAATCCCCAGAACTACTGGAAGCCAAGTCTGCAAATGACAGTCCTGTGCTACTTCCAAATCCAAATGGAACTGTTGTGCTTTCCACTGGCAAAAGAAAGCAACAGTTTAGTATTTCACATTAAACTTTACCTGGGATCAGCTCTTTGTACAGGGAAAACCATTACCTTCTGTTTATTTTTTAAGAAAAGTTATGAACTCTATCTAATTCTGATTTTAAGCACAATTAAATTTGTAAGAGTTATTATTACCAATAAATACCAAAAGAATGACACAAAAATTATTTTTAAAGATAGGATACACAAGTGTCTATATTGAGCCAGATAGAAAACGAGGAATATTCTGCTTTATGAGGTTCTTCTATAATCTAAAAATGAGCCCTGGTTGCTAACCTAAAGGTCAGCAGTTGGAAGCCACCAGCTTGCTCCATCCATGGAAGAAGATGTGACAGCTAGCATCTCTAAATGCAGCCTTAGAAACCCCATGGAGCAGTTCTGTTTTGTCCTATAGGAATACTATGTGTTAGCAATGACAGAGAAGGGTTCTATAATCAAACATTCTGCCAAATGTCAAAGAATTTTGTCTTCCAATTATGGTGTAAGATCACTATTATAAAAAATTAAGGAAAGGATGAAAAAGAATCATTCCTGACTGATTAGTAGAAATGAGGAAGGATAGTGAGGGAGTAAAAAATAAATAAGCTAGGTGAAGGAAAAGTAGTATGTAATAAGGAGCTGGAATAGCCACTGTAATTAATATTATAAAAAGTTTCAAAAAAATTGTAATAAAGGACTTTCTGTAGTAAACAGACAAAAACGAAATAAAGTCATGAGAAGTCTAGTGCTTTTATATTAATTCTGCAATATGAAAATGCATTCTATGCTTTTTCTTTTCTTAGGAAAATGTATGGGGTTTCTGGTCTCTGGTTTAAGGATTAGGGACTCTGTTAGCTTAATGGTACAGAGCTGCACTGACAACCCAAAGGAATGCAGGAGGGATCCATCAGCTGCTCCAAGGGAGAAAAGAAAGGCAATCTTCTCCCATGTGATTTACTGATGCTAAAAAGCCTGGAAGGTCAGCTATGAGTTAGTTCCACCTCAACAGTACATTAAAAACCTAACAGGGAGTTATGCTGCTAACTCACTGGCTGTGACTGTCTGGCAGTTCAATTTTCCAGTGGATCTGCAGATAAAAGATGTACAGTGTCTTACTGGGCAACTTGACCTCAGAAACCCACTCAATGTCAGCTTTTAAGTCAGTTCTGACTCAGACAACAATGAATTTGAGTTTGAGCATATTCTAGTCATCTCTGGACAGCCAGAGAATAATTTTGCCATCAATTTTGCAATTCCCACAGAAACATATCATTAGGTCTTTTTTCCAAAGGAGCTGCTGGTAGTTTCACAGCAGTGCACTACCGGGGGCTCTGTGCACATGTACAATACAATTTACAGAGACCCCAAAAAACCAGCTGAGATAAAAATGCAAGGGAGAAGAAATAACAAATGTGAAGACACTAAATGAGATGGATTGACTCTGTGAGTGGGGTAATGGGGTGTGTCAGAGACAAAAAGGTTAGTAAAGGGTAGAGCAGGGTTCAGAGCTGTTGTACATAGCCTTGCTATGAGTCGCAAGCAACTGGATGGCACATTAACAACTTGCTTCAACTAAATAATTAGCAGCCTATAAAGATGATAAAGGAAGACATTAAAGTTGCACAATACACAACACTCCTACTACAGTGTTTCTAAATTTACTCCCTGTATACTTTTATAAGAAGCTGCAAACAGAAGCAATTCAAATTTGCAAGCTGCTCCACAAGACAAAAATGGGCAGTCTCCTCTCATAAAGATATATAGCCTCAGAAACTCAGTGGAGGACTGCTGAGACAGAATCAACTGGAAGATAGATGGCTTGGTTTATACCTGTAATACTTTGAATATGTATGAATAATATTAAAATTCAGATAAAATTCCAATGAAAATAATATCACAAAGAAATTTGCCATATAAGCAAACCACTGTCCTTTATGACCAGGTGGACAAGAGCAACAATGCTTTGTACTCACCCATTAACTACAATTCTTAACAATATGAATATAGGGCTATTATCTGTTAGCATAGCAGTGTTGTTTACCATTGAGTCAGACCAACTCACAGCTGACCCTCCAGTAGGTATTCAGAGGCAGTAAGTCACATCCTTCTCCCATGAGGCAGCTGGTAGGTTTGAACCATGTGCCTTTGAGCCTATAGTACAGCTTCTTAGCAGTAGACTACCAAGTTCCACCAAATTATGGAAGTAGGATATTCTAATTATTATTTTTTAAGTTATACTGAAAGTGTTTAATGAATGGGAATTTTCAGATCTACCTTTACAAGTATATCTTCTCAAATATATATGTGTTCCTTAATCAAATGCATGCCTGCAAAGTTAATGTAAACATTTATCAAATTTTACCTTGGCTTGTACAGTCTGTATCAGTTTCTTTTTTTGTAGACAAATCTACAGGTTTGTCTTCAGTACCAGTAGAAATAGATAGTGAATTAACAGATTCTGTCACAGAATCAGGTTCTTCAGATTTACAGGTAAATGGAAAGGTCCTGTTTGTCCCACCTGTACACATACTGTCAGCCGTGCTAGTGACTGTTTTAGCAAGTTCTTCACTTTGGGATTTCTGCAAACAGAAGTCACAAGTTACTATTTCATTAAATGTTGACTGAGTTTCAAAAAGTATCATATACTGTATTTAAAAAGAAATTAAGAACTTCCATTTTGCAGACAAGAAGGAGTGAACAATTTCCATCCACTCCACCAATCCCTCCTATTAAACACCTCAATTGAAGCAAAGAAAGGGTCTCAAGAGTCTAATAAAAATATCATAGTGAGAATTCTATCATTTTTTTCCCCTTTTTGTCCAGGAACTGCCACTTATATGGTCAGAAAGGGCACTCAAAAGTCTCTTTTTCTATAGCAAGAGGTCTGGAAATAGGAACTAGAAAGGGGGGAAAAAAAGGGAAAGCAAAACGACAACTGTTAGAATTATCAGAAGAGAACCTTAAAGAAGCCATACTAGAAAAGCTCCGATTACTCATCAAATGAATTTTAAGATCTCAGCAAATAATTTAAAGGGGAAGTAAGAGAATTCTTAAACTGAAAAATAATAATTCTAGAATAAGCTAGCCCACATTAAAAGTGGACTCTCTGTTGTTACATTCTTAAGACTACACTCTACCCTAAGTTCCTAAAACCTAGCATGTATAGGAAGGAGTTTGTTTTGGCTTTTTTTATAGTCCTGAATGTAGAATAAGGTTATTTTTCTTCCCTAGCCGTACTTGATTAGGAGGCTCTGACCTAGGGAGATCTAATCCTTCTGTAAACCACTAACCTTTATTATCATTCTAAAGTTTAGTGAGAATATTCTAGTTTGTACTACACAAAGACAGTTGTCAAAACAATGAAGATAGTCTTACTTGAGCTTGCTGAACCTTTTGAAGCTCAGACTGAAAGTCTTCCCCATTTCCATTGTCCTCATCAGTATCACTGCATACTCCACAAAAAAATGTAGGTGGAAGCTTTAATGTATCTGCTTTTGCCTTCTCTTCAACTGTTGGTTTCTTTTCCCAAACAATAACACACTCTTTCTCATTATCTAAAAAATCAGTAGGATACACACACAAAAAAAACAATTAAGGGAAAGCAGAGTCTAGTTAGTCTACAACAATGGTCCTCAATGTCATCTACAAATAACAAGTCAAATAACAAGACCTGTGAAGCTAGACTGGGAACTCATTTTCATCTAATATAAATTATATAAACATACAGATGAAAGGTATGGTGGCCTCGTAATAATAACAAGTTGTGTTGTAATCCTAAAAACACGCAGTTCAACTCCACCAGCTGTTCTGCAGGACTATTAGCAATTTATTTATATGTGCGTGTGTGTGTGTATTTATATATACAATATAAAAAAATGTGTTTTTCACCTAATATCACTTTCAATATTTAAAATAGCCAAGTTTTTGTTATGTGCCATTGAGTCACCTACAACTCTGAAGCTGGCCCTGTCCTGAGCCAGTCTCACCGATTCCGCTACACCTACCCCCATTACCCAAGTTACTGTGTCAACCCATCTAATCAAGAGTCTTCCTCTCCTGCACTGTCCCTCATTCTGAGCATTATGTAAATAAATAGCACAAAAAGTCAGGTTAAGAGGCATTCTTTGAACAAGTATTTTTAGAAATTTTATTAATAATTTAACATACCTGCCTGGTTTTCTTCCAAGTCATCCAAATACAGTTTTCCATTCAGTTTCTTGACAGCTGTTTCAAAATCTTCATCTGAAAGTGTAATTGATTAAAGAATTTGTGTAACTGGGAGTTTCTATCCAGAAATCTAACAATTTTTTTTTTTTCATTTTCCCTCACTCCTCACGTGAAAATAGCAACCAATTTTGCCAATTCTATATTGCTAAATAGTCTTTCTATGACAGAGTTTTAATTTTAACTCTCTTCAAGTTTGAACCTTTCTAACACTGAGTTCATCTGAACACCAGACCCCACAACCCAATCTTCTACATCACCACCTAAGTGACACACTTCTAAATATTTTTAATATATAACATCTTTGTTTATAAAAAACATGACAAAGTTTTCTGTAATCTGACCTGCGCATGCCTCTCTCACCTCTGTTAACACTATAGAAAAATTATGACTCCTTTCAAGTCTCTCAAAGACTTGTACACAGTATGTACACAGTTACTATCCAATAAATTCTTATTGAAGAAATTTATTTTAATCAGTACATTGACTACACAGATGTAGGGTCATTATTTACTTACACATAGAACAATCCTATGTTTTAGAAGGCTTTTATAATTTGATTTAATGATACCTTCAAGCAATACAATTAGCATGGGACCACAGTGTGTGTAAATTAACAAAACATTTACCATCCTCTTCTTCCTCACTAACATAATCTGGTTTGTTCTTATAGCAGAAGAAAGTTAGAGGAAGTTTAAGTTTGGTTGCAAGGGCTTTTTGCTCAGGAGTTGGCATTAGCTCATACACAATGAAAATTTCATCATCTGAAGGAGGATCTTCTGGTTTTACCTGCTCTTCTGCTGTAACAGAAGAAAAATTAAAAATATTTTATTCAAATACTGACATCAATATTATAAGTTTAAAATCATAAAAGTGACATATAGATTAAAATAGCATAATAAAAAAACACTTATGTGGGATAAAGCTCTATAAGAGTCACAAATTAATGGCCTTTAGTATTCTAACACAAACCTTACTGAAGATAGAATCTTTTTAAAAATGAAAACTTATTTACTAGTTTTTCTATTTAACAAGTATTAAAAGTACTCTACTGCCATAACCACAACAGTTCAGTAAAATAACCATGCATTGCAGCAAATGAGTCTTAAAAGCAAAGATTAGTATAAAATGAAGCTAACACAAAGCCAACCTTGATTAGTTCCTAGATTATTAACAATTTCCAACCACAAAAGATGATTAGGGTTGTGTCCAATTTTGCATATTTATAAACATGATACTGGATAAATTTAAGTAAAAACTCATCCTATGAACTGTTGCTGTTATGTGCTGTCAAGTCGACTCTGACTCATAGTAAACCTGTGTACAATAGCTCTGAACCCTGTCCTATCTTGAGCCGTTTTCACTGTCTCAGACACACTTAACCCCATTACCTCGATTACTGTGTCAATACATTTCATCCTGGGTCTTGCTCCCTTGTTATGTCCCTCCACCCTTCCAAGCTTGAGTCCTTCTCTAAGGACTGGTACCGCCTGGTAACATGCTCCAAGTATGTGAGATGGAGCTTCAAAATCCTTGTCTCCAAGGAGCAACTTGGCTTTACCCTCTCCAGGACAGACCTGTCTGTTCTCTTGACAATCCATGGTCTATTTGCTCTTCTGCAGTACCACAACTGAAAGGCTTCAGGAATTCTTTTGTCATTCTTATTCATGGTCCAGATTTCTGATGTGTAGCAAGCAACTGTGAAGACTATACCGTGGATCAGGTGCACTTTAGTCTCTATAGTGACATCACTCCTCTTTAGCATTCTAGAGAAGTCCCTAAAAGCCTATTTTCCTAATGCAATTTGTCTTTTGATTTACTGACTGCTGATGCCAAGGGTGTTTAATTATGGAATCAATTAACCTTAAATTAACCATCTCAATCTCTTCTTCACCTATCATGGTGCTGCCAATTGGCCCAGTGGTGAGAATCTTTGTCTTCTTCATGTTGAGCTTCAGTCCCTATTTTAGGCAGCAGTCCTTGACCTTCTGCAGTAAATACTTCAGGTCCTCCTCAATTTCAGCAAGCAAGATTGTGTCATCTGCATAGCGCAGGTTGTCAATGAGTCTTCCTCCAATCCTGATGCCACACTGCTGCTCATAAAGCCCAGCCTCCAGAATGTTATATTCTACATATAAATTAAAAAGGTAAGCAGATAGAATGCATCCCTGATGCACCCCATTCTTGATTTTAATCCATACAGTTGTTTACTTGTTCTGTTTGACAACTGCTTCCTGGTCCAAGTACAAAGTCAAAGATAATTTCTAAAATGGAAAATCGAACTGTAAAAATATATACAAAATCTGTTCTGGTCTATAATTTTTGCAAAAGAAATTGATAAAGTAAGCCAGTCACAAAGTCTAGCATGTATCCATAGGGGCTAGGGACACAAACTCTTCAGAGTTATACATTCCAATGTAGTAACACCTAGCTGCCTGGGGCTATTAAGGATTTGAAATGTGCTTAATTCAAACTCAGGTATATTCTATCTAATACATGCTGGAATTAGGTCTGGGTTTTGGTTGTTTTTATTTTAATAAAGAAATAAATGTAAATCTCATTAGTAATCTTTCTATAGTATTTAGATAAAATGGCATTTGGGATATAGTTGTCAGGTACTGTGCAGAGTCAATGAACTCACAGAAACTGTACGTACAATACAGTGTAAGTCAGTCTGGTCTTGTACTGTCCTAATAATCTCTGCTGTGCTTAAACTTGTGGTATTAATCCATCTTTTGAGGGTGTTTCTTTCAGCATCTACTTTTCGAAGCATAATGTCCTTTTTAGACATTAGCTCTTTCTGGCAACATACCCAAAGTATGTTGACCAAATCTTACTATCTTTGCTTGAAAATACCATTATCATTGCACATTTTCTAGTCTATAGTCAATATTATTTGCCAACACATTATTCAAAGATATCAATTATTCTTCAGTATTCCTTAGTCACTGTCCAATATTCATCTGCATATAAAGTAAATGAAAGTACCCCAGAATGTATCAGATGCACCTTAATCTTTAAGCATACCTGCTCTTTAGCACATTACAGAGCTCAACTGACTGCAGATACGCCCAATGCAATGCATTGATCTCTTAACTGCTGTTTTCATGGAAACCAAGTAAATTAAGCCCCTGGCAACTTTTCTCCAATTATTACAATGTCACCCATTAGTTCAGATATTTTATGTTAAAGTATAATTCGTACTGAAGGCTAATTAAGATTAATCATCTCAAGAAAAATTTCAAGTCCTCATCACTTTCTGCAAGTAAGGCTTTGTCATCTACATTGTTGATGAGTCTTCTTCCACTCTTGATGTCACCTTCTTCTTCATATAGTCCACTTCCTCAAATTATTTGCTTAGCATACAAATTAAATAGCTATGGTGAAAAGCACAGCCTTGAGGCATATATTTTATGCTCTTAATCATGCAGTATCCTCTTGTTCTGCCTAAATGATTGCTTCTTAACTCATGAACAGAGGTTCTGCATACGCACAACAAATGTTCTGGAATTTTGATTCTTCACAATAGTATCCATGACTTATTTGATCCACAATACCAAATGTCTTTGCACAGTCAATAAAACACAAGTAAACATCTTTCTTGGGAGTCTCTGTTTCCAGTCACTATCCATCTGACATGAGCAATTCTATACCTCTTTCTACTGCCTCCACTAAACCCAGCTTGAATTTGTTACAGTTCCCTGTCAATGGATTGCTCAAGTCATTTTTCAGTATGTCTTCAATAAGACTATTTGTATGCTATATTTATTTTATGTTTAGAGTAGTGCCACATGATGTTTAAACATCTTTTGGGGGGACAGGCACAACTAGAATTGTACTGAAAACCCCAAGACAGGCAATTCTAATCCATCAGTTGCTACACTAGAGAATGATGGGCAATCTCCTCCCATGAGTTATACAGCGCATGAAAATATGGTGGAGGGTCAGCTATGAGGTAGTTCCATCTCCATGCCAGTAAGTTGAGTTGAATTGTTCTTGTTTGAAAATTTCCATCAGGAAGCTCAAGTGGCATAGCACATAATGAGTTGCGCTGCTAACCGAAAGGTTACAAATCTCTGTTGGTTCAAATCCACCAGTGACTCAAAGGAAGATGAACAGTCTCTTCCCAGTACCATTTACTAAGAACCTCAGAAATCTGCTAAAGGGTCACTATGAGTCAGACCAACTCTACGGCAATCAATCTAGGATCCACAGTGTCTATTACCACTTTTCTATAAAATGTACACTTCATTTATATTTCTAGGAAAATGCCCCTTTAAGAAAAAAAGGTAATTTAAAAATTCAAAAGAAAAAGAAAAAAGCGAGTAACAAGGAACCCTGGTGACAATCAGAGCCTTCATAGTATGGTGGTCAAAGTATCCAATTGCTAACAAAAAATTGGTGGTCTGAATGCACTAGCTACTACTAAGGAGAAAATAAGGCAATTTCCTTAAAATTTATGGACCCAGATATCCAGTGGGCAATTCTACTATGTACTACAGACAGGGTCATTACGACCTGGAAATGACTCAATGACAGTGGATTTTATGTAGGTGGCACAACAGTAAAGTACTTGGCTGCAAACCCGCTAACCAAAAGATACGAGGTCAAACTCAGCAATTATTGACTCTTTAATGATTATCACCATGGTAACCTCATGAAGCAGTTTGACCTAAAGTCTGAATCTATATGAAGCAGTGACTTTGGATTTATAGTAGCTAGTAAAATGATTCGTATACTTTAAAACTGAAGATTCCAATTATACAACTGACAATGTATAATAAATACAGTGGAGATATTCAAGATATGGGCACTAACAATGAATCTTCGTTTTCTGAATGTTGTTCTTAAGGCTCACTAATAGATTTCACTTCTACTCCATTATCAACAGCTATTTTCACTAGTGATCTGTGCTACATATACAAAGTACCAAGTTTATACTGGTGGCTGTGAATATTGAAGGGTATTTTCAAATATTATATTGTTCTATCCCACCTGAATTACAGAACCATCTCAGGAACAGGTTTGAGGCCTTGAACACTAATGAGCAAAGACCAGATGAGTTGTGGGAGGATATCAAGGGTATCATCCAGGAAGAGTGCAAATGGTCATTACAAAGAGAGAAGAGGGGGAAAAAAGACCAAAATAAATGTCAGAAGAAACTCTGAATATTGCACTGGAGCGCACAGGAGCCAAAACACAAGGAAGAATTCAAAATACTAAAGAGCTGAACAGAAGATTTCAAAAGGCAGCATGGGATGACAAAGCAAAATATTACAATGAAATGTGCAAGGAGTTGGAGTCAGAAAATCAAAAGGGCCGAACTCGCTCAGCATATCTTAAGCTCAAGGAACTGAAGAACAAATTCAAACCTCGAGTTGCTATAATCAAGGATGCTTTAAGCAAAATATGAAATAATCCAGAAAGTATTAAAAGATGGAAAAAATATACTGAGTCACTGTATCAAAAGGAATTAGCAGACACAGATGAATTTAATGAAACAACATGTGAGCAAGAGCCTATGGTGATGAAGGAAGTAGTTCAGGCTGCTTTGAAGGAAATAGCAAAAAATAAGGCCCCAGGAATACATGGTATACCAACTGACATATTTCAGCTAACAGATGCTGCCCTCCATGTACTCACCAAGTCAAGCCAAGAAATCTGGAGAACAACCACTTGACCAACTGACTGAAAGAGATATCTATTTGTTCCCATTACAAAGAAGGGTGACCCAACAGAATGTCGAAACTATAGAACTATATAGAAACTATAGAACTACAGAATATAGAATATTTATTTCACACGCAAGATTCTACTAATGATTATCCAAATCGACTGGAACAGCACATCAGCAGAAAACTGCAAGAAGTCCAGGCTGGGTTTAGAAGGGGTCGTAGTACTAGGCATATTGTAGCTAATGTTAGATGGGAAAGCAGGAAATACCGGAGGAAAGTCTTTCTGTGTGTCTTCGATTATGCAAAGGCGTTTGACTGTGTGGATAACAAACTGTGGCTGACTCTGAGAAGAATGGGAATCCCAAAACACTTGATCGTGCTAATGAAAAACCTATACTTGGACCAAGAGGCAGTCGTCAGAACAAAGCAAGAAAACACTGCATGGTTCAAAATTGGAAAAGGCGTACGCCAGGGATGGGTCCTGTTTTCATACCTTTTCAACCTATATGCAGAACAGATTATCCAGGAGGCTGGGCTCTATGAGGAGAAGTGTGGCATCAAGACTGGTGGAAGATCCATCAATAATCTGCGTTATGCAGATGACACAACCCTGCTTGGTGAAACTGAGGAAGACCTGAAATGCTTGCTGCAGAGGGTCAAGGACTGCAGCCTTCAATATGGATTGAGATTCAATGTCAAGACGACAAAGATTCTCACCACTGGACCAATTGGCAGCATCAGGATGGATGGTGAAGAGACTGAGACTGTCCACAGCTTTAGTTTGTTTGGCTCCACAGTCAACATTCTTGGCATCAGCAGACAGGAAATTAAAAGACATATTGCAATGGGTAAGTCTGCTGTTAGGGACCTCTCCAGGGTACTGAAGAGCAATGGGGTCTCTCTGGAGACTAAGGTGCGTCTGATACAGGCCATGGTCTTTGCTATCATTTGTTATGCATCAGAAAGTTGGACAATGACTAGGGAGGATAGAAGGAGAATTGGTGCCTTTGAGCTGTAGTGCTGGAGAAGAGTATTGAGGGTACCATGGACTGCTAAGGAAAACAGGTTCATCCAGGAGAGGGTTAAACCGGGTGGCTCCTTGGAGGCAAGGATTCTGGGGTTTTGTCTCACATTTTGGACAAGTTGTAAGGAGGGACCAGTCCTTGGAGAAGGGCATCATGCTTGGGAGGGTGGAGGGACAGCGCAGGAGCGGAAGACCCTGTACGAGGTGGACTGATTCAGTGACTGGGGTAATCATGATGGGTGTATTGGAGACAGTGCAAATGGCACAGGACAGAGCAGAGTTTAGGGCTGTTTTGCATAGGGTCACTATGAGCCGCAAGCGACTCGAAAGCACCTAACAACAACAACAACATATTGTTCTAAGTCAGACCCAAAAATAGCCCCAGAGTGACACCTACTTGTTTCATGATTAAATACACACTGCCACCATCACATGTTTAGACACAAGCAAACTTTAGTGACAAAAAATAAGGGTAAATAAAATAAATGTCTTCATGAACCTGTTCTGAAAATGAAACAGCATTTTTTAAATACAAAGCAGAAAAAAAAAGACCACCCTGATCTAATACAAATGTCTGACAGTTAAAACCAGAATATCCAAGTACATTAAAAGAAAGATAAAAAACAAAAACCCAAAATCATTAAAAGGTGTTATATAACCAGTCAAAAGGTATTTAGCTGTAACTAGCATTTTTCAACATGCATGTTCTATCCTTATCCAGCCACAGATACTTTGCTAAAGACTACCAGCTGCTAGGAACACAGGGGCCATCTCATATTGAGAATGCTAGCTCTATACCTTTGCTCTCAAGCTGTGAGGATGGGGTACTGGTCCAAAATGCCATTGGATTAGATTTAAAAAGGCTAAAATTAAATCCTAGAAAATAAAGAGCATTTGATTTTTTAACATTTTGAGAAACAGACTAAATAATGAGTTTCAACTATAAAAAAGCCAATGCCTCAATTTATAACAATTTGTTTCACAATAAAGAGCCCTGGTGACACAATGCTTAATGTGTCAGGCTGCTGAACAAAAGCAGTTCAAAGGAAGATGGGCTTTCTCCTCCCATGGAAGTCTTGAAAATCCAGTGGAGATGCTAGGCACTGAAATCAACTCCAAGGCAGTTTAGTTTGGTTGTCTAACAGTTATTTATCCCAATGGTCGTATTCTTTGCTCACGTCATAAATAGCAGCAACACTAACAAATAAAATGTAAACATTTCAGCCCCCATTTTTTTTTAGTGAACAGAATTTTTTACCCTTAGAAAATTCAAATTAATGCTCATTATTCAAGTTCAAGAATCATTATGTTAAGCTTTCATATTATAAAATAGTGCTCTATCCTAAGAAAATATAAATTATCTCCCAATTGTTGCAACAGTAGGACTGTTGGTATTTGAATATTCTAAGGAAAATTTACTTAGGAAATAAAAATATCAAATAATTTTAGGTGTTCACAATGTACAAAGCACTGTTTGTGGTCCAACTTCAACAGATATTAACAACTTAATTCTGTATTAAGAAACGCAGTAAGAGGGAAAACAATCTCCTTACTCTAAAGACTTACCTTTTTCTGGAATTTTAAATATGTAGTTAGTTGAGGTCTCCTCCTTTGGAATGGAAGCAATGAGATTTCTGGCTTTGCCATCTGAAGTCAGTTTGAGATCAGTGTTCCTTGACAGTTCACATTTGCTAGAAGATTCCACTTTTCTTTCAGATCCAGTCTGGACAACTGAACTAGTTTCACTATCATTATTTTTCATAGGTGCATTAAAACTAAATCCAAACAAGGAACCAGTGGCTGAACTGTTGCCAAATGCAAATGGCTTTGATTTTTCACTACTAAAAATGCTTTTAACAGACTCTGGACCAAAGACAAACTTTGGAGGAGAAACCACTGCTTTTGTTGTAGATTCAGATGTGGTAGATACTTCTGCAACTTCTGAAGTTGCATCTGCTGTATCATCTCCCTGATTTAAATCTGTCCTCTCTCTCGTAGTTTCTTCTAATACGGCAACAGCAATTTTGCCACATGGTGACTCTCTGGGAGTCACTGAACAAGGAACGTGAGGTGTTATCAGAGAATCTCTCTCTTGGGCTATTTTTGCTTCATCAAAAATTTACTTAAATGAGTCTGCAATATCTTGTAGTTTAAAACGGACAGCCAAATGTTCTACCTTTCTTTCTCCATCTGCAAAATCACATGCAGTCCAGACCCACACTCTTTCTGTCCCTTTCATAGTTTGTAAAGTCATGTCTGGGGTTATTCTGTGATTTGCACAAAGTTTTAATACCTGGTCTCTTCTCATTACTATGCGAACTTGCTTATTATCGTAATTCTGTAAAATCTTTATATCGCCAATACCCCTTTCTTTCCACTGTCCAACATCTTTATCATACCTATAGAGTTTTGCTCTGTGACTAAAAACTACTTGTTCATTTTCCTCACCACTAGACACTTCGACTAGATCAGGTAAAGGTACAACAGGTTCAAAGTACTGTCCACTATCTCTCTCTTCTTCTTGAGTGACATCAGATTCTTCATCTGTGCCAACTGAAGTCCCACTCTGATTCAATTTAGCAGGAGACTTGGATGGACTCAGAGCAGATTTGAAACTGAAGTTAAATCCTGTTGTTGATTCACCAAAGCGAAAGAGATTTTTCCTCACAGGGCTACTTGCCAATGGGGAAGCATGGACTGAGCTACTACTGACACTATCATCCAGTGCATCTTCTCTTAAATCATAGTTGTCCCACTCTAACGTTGGCCCAGTGCTTTCAGGATTTGACTTACTTGTATCTGAAGCACATATAGCACCTGAACTTGTACTCTCATCATCGGTAACTTTTGTTTGATCATTTGTCAAAAATGTTTTGAAATCTTTCAGTCCACTCTTCATTTCTTCAGCTCGCTGTATTAACTTGGCAGCTCGACCCGTATCAACAAGTTTATGGGGAGTCTGAAGTGGTATATCTAGAAGAAGTCTCTGACATTCTTCAAATTTTTGCTTGAATTCTTCAGCTAGCTCTGGTGTTTTAAATTTTGCTGCCAGGTGCTCCAGTTTGGCATCACCATCAGAAAAATCACTAGCTAACCACATCCAGGCTCTATCTGAACCCGAGAGAGGCTTCAAGTTCATCGTAGTAGTTATCCAATGATTAGCACACACTTTTAGTACCTGTTCCCTTCGCATTAGCATTCTTAGTTTACCATTTACTTCATTTTTGAGGATTTTTAAGTTCCCTAAACCCCTTTCCTTCCACTGACTTATCTCAGCATCGAATCTAAATAATTTTACCCTCTGTGAATAAAGAACTTTTTCATCTTCTTCCCCTGTTACAAGTTCTACTTTTTCAGGCATCTGAACTACTGGTTCAAAATGGATGTCATCACTGTCCTCAGTTTTGTAGGCATCATCATCTTTCTCAAGTTCAGCCGAAGTATTGGCCTTCTCAACCATCTTACTACTCTGTGAAGAAAATAATTTTTCTCCAGCACCTGAAAATCCCTTAAAATTAGGATCTTTTTTGCCAAATTGAAATCCTTCTCCCGAAGTTGATTTTGCAAGATCTGCAAAAGTAAAAGTGCTACTAGTCTGACCAAAAATCAAACCACTTCCATCCTTTTGGCTACTGACATCTTGTGCCTGGAAAGCAGTGTCACTGTCAAAAGGCTTTTCAGTGTCACTCTTCTTCTCTTGACTTCCTGACTCCTGAATGCCAAATTTAAACCCATCAGCTGACACAGGGATGGAAAAATTAAAACCTTCTTTGGTTGATTTAGAATCTGCAACAGAAGAACTCTGAAATACAAATGATGGTGTATTTTCTTGATCCACATGTCCAAATTTAAAACCTTGATCTGCACTGCTAAATTTAAAACCTTTTTCTAAAAAGTCAGTTTTAAATCCTGTTCCCCCTTGACTTCCTGGTGTATCATTTACCTTAGTTTTTGCACCCACCATGAAAGCTGAAGGAGTTTCTGCAGTGGGTTTATGAGATGGTTTAGAAGCATAGCAAGCCACACATTTTAAGGAAGAATTCTGATTTTGTAGAGAGCAAACACTACAATCCCACTGTCCTCCTTCCTTTGTGAACATTCCTTCAAATCCACTCTTTGCTGTCTTGGTTATATCTGAAGAGGCTGGAGCATTAGAAAGCAGCTGATTCTGTTCACGTGGATTCTGACAAGCAATACAATTGACAGCACTTGCTTCATTTTGTACCAGACATACACTGCAATCCCATTGTCCTTCCTTTTTGGCAAACATTCCCTCAAATCCACTTGCTGGAGTCTTATTAGTATCTGAAGTACCAAATTTAAAAGAGGATGCTGCTGGAACAGCAGAAGTGGGCTGGTTCTGTTTATCTGGATTCTGACAAGCAACACAATTTGCAGCACCTGCTTCATTTCTGACTAAGCATACACTGCAGTCCCACTGTCCTTCCTTCTTAGCAAACACGTTCTCAAAACCACTCTTTGGAGCCTTGTTTGTGTCTGAAATACCAAACTTAAAAGAGGATGATGCTGGAAGAGCAGAAGAGGGCTGGTTCTGTTTATTTGGATTCTGACAAGCAACACAATTTGTAGCACTTGCTTCATTTCGTACTAAGCATACACTGCAGTCCCATTGTCCTTCCTTCTTAGCAAACATGTTCTCAAAACCACTCTTCGGAGCCTTGCTTGTGTCTGAAGTACCAAACTTAAAAGAGGACGATGCTGGAAGGTAAGTAGGCTGACTCTGTTTTCTTGGATTCTGACAAGCAACACATTTTGCAGAACTTCCTTCATTAGGTACAAAGCATGTACTGCAATCCCACTGTCCTTCCTTAGGAGGAAAAACAGACCTAAAATCACTACTAACAGACTTAGGAAGATCTCCCTGACCGAATTTAAAGGTAGATGGCTGAACAAATGAAGATCCATTTTTGCCAGGAGACTTTGTACTCTGGCAGGCAACACATCGAGATGCAGTAGGTTCATTTCTTACTAAACAAGTATTACAATCCCAGTGACCTTCTTTCTTTGGCGTCACTGATGCAAATCTATCTTGAGTGCTTTCTAGGTTAGTTTTAAGAATGGGAACAGTTTCAACTAATGATAGGCCAGTATTATTTGGATTTAGATTCTGGCATGAAACACATTTTTTAGCGGTTGGAGCATTCTTTAGTGAGCAACTATTACAAAGCCACCAAGACCCATCTTTCTTTGTAATTTGAATTTCAACACTATCCTTGTTTTCATGGCTCGCCGGTTCTTTGGCAATTCTGAGATTCTGGTTTGTTGATACGGCTGCATTTGCTCCTGAGGCTTTTAAATTGGTCTGGGCCTCTTCAAACTTGCATTTAAAAAGTGCTGCTTCTTCAGGAGTTTTGAATCTGACAGCAAGTTGTTCTGGTTTTGGTGACTCATCAGCATAATCAAGGGCATGCCATACAAAAGATCTGTCAGATCCAGCATTTGGTGCCAGTTTCATATCTGGGTTTATGTAATGATTTGCACAGATCTTCAATACCTGCTCTCTTCTCATCAGAAGTCGAATTTTACCAGATGTTTTATGCCTTAGTATTTTTACATTGCCAATGCCTCGTTCCTTCCACTCTTTGGATTCTGTATCAAAACGGAACAATTTTGCACGGTTGCAGAAGATTTCTTCCTCATCTTCTTCACCAGTTTTTACTTCAATCTTATCAGGAAGAGGTACTACAGGCTCAAAGTGAGGACCATCATCATCTTCATCCCCATGGGCACTTCCTCCATCTGCTTCATGATTCTTGTTTGCTAATTCTGTAGCAGATGCTCCAAATACTGATTTCACTGGACCATGGAAAGTAAACATATCATCACTTCGGCGAAAACCAGTATTCTTTTGTTGATTTGGCCCCAGGTTTTCTGCAAACGAAATGCCAGGCATATTTTTGCTTCCAAAATTGAATGTATTTCGAGGTCCAAAGGTTTGTCCAGGAATAGGTTTTGGAGCACTATATCCATCTCCTTGCAAAGGTTTATCAGAAGTTAGAAGCCCTAAAAGGCTTTCACTATTATTGTATGCTGTAGAAGAGGGCTGTGTCACAACCTGTGGTGAGGAAAACGTGAAGTCACCATCATTTGATTTGAAATTTGAGTTAAATTTAAAAGGAGTTGGTTGTGATGTGTGAGCTGGTGTCAAAGACTGCCTTATTCCTTCACCTGGAATGGGCTGAACAAAATTTGATTTTCCAAATTCTATAACTTTAGAATCTGTAGATCTTGAAGCATGAGCAGGTGGTTTTGTGAAATAACCTGGTTCTGGCAAAGGTGGATTTGTGCTAGTTTGTTGAACATTGTAATTAAAATAATCATCACTCCTGGGTGATATAATTCCTGTTGCCGGTGACTCAAACCGCAGGGGAGGACCATACATCTCTTGAGAGAACATACAAGCAGATGAGCTTTGCACTGGTGGTGTGTGCATCTGTTGTGAATAGGCATAAATGTGCTGTTGAGGTGGAAGCCTATTCATGCCATACACTGGACCCTGAAAGAAAATAAAATTAAAATTTTTAGAGACTGTCTACAAAATTAAAGATACTGAGATACAAACAATAATTCTCCCAAACACAAACATTATAGGTAAAGAAGGTATCTCTAGAGTATGTAATAAATGCATCATTATGAGAAAGCAACATAAAAATACAAAGACAACTGAAACTTATAGTCCTTCTTGTCACATAATTAAAAATTAAGATGTATAGTAACAGCTTCTTTTTTAAAAAAACCCTACTTCTTTAACAATAAACCACATGATATAGATTGTCCTCATTCCTAAATGTATCAAATAATGTTAACTATAATAATGATGATGAAGACTAACACTGATTATTTACTAAAAGTGCAAAACTGGGCACTGTTATCAGCACTTTATAATACCTCATTTTAATACCACTCAATAAATTATAGTATTATCACTATCCTCATTTTACATATGGGGCAACTGATCTCTAGAGATTAAAAAACTCGCTCAAGGTCACAGTAAGCAGAAAAAGCAAAGTTTAAAGGCACCCAAGAACCTCTGTCCTCAAAGCTCTTGCTATTTATTATATTAATTCTAGGTCTCAGTCAATAGATAAAGGGCATGCCACACAAAGGGGACATAAATGCCAAATTCTTGAAGAACATATTAAGTGCTAATACTGTACTACTTATGTAATTTCTCTGAAAGAAGCCTAAATCATTAAGAGATACAGTTGATCCTCATTATTCACAGATTCTTTCTTCATAAATTCTCTTAACTCATCAAAATGTCTTTGTAACCCCAAAAAATCATTACTTGCAGCCCTTTCACGCTCATTTGCACACAATTCAGAGTAGCAAAAAGTAAGTCACCTAAAATGAGTCACATGTTTCCAGCGAAGGTCAAACAAAGCCACACTCTGCTTTCAACCTTCATATCATAAAGAAGTCTCTTTTTGTAGGCTAGTGAGTGCCACTTTTAGTTTTGCTGTTTAACATGGTCCCAAAAATAGTAATGAAGTCCTAAACAAAGAAGGCTATGATGTTGCCTTATGGAGAAAATGTGTTTGTAAGTTTATTCAGTTTTATTTAGTCATGAGTTTTACCACTGTTAGTGAATTTGTTTTAAAAGGTATTTTTAAATAGAAATACACATTAAAAAAACGTTATATATTGCTCAGGTGACAAAGAAATGTTATAACTCGAGGCTCACAGGAACCTAACTCTGTGTTTGCCCTAAAAGAAGTGGTTGATTATTTGCTAATTCAGTGTTCAAGGCAGTGTCATTGACCATAACGACCACAAATTACAAGAATCAACTCTACTTAATTATGTATAAATTATTCCTTTGTTACCTTTGTGGGAGTTACATTAGCTGCTGGTCTGAGAAGATACTGGGAATTATATGCTGGTGACTGACTATAATATACTGAAGGGCCAGTAGTTGCAACTAAAAAACAAAACAAAATAAAAAAAAAAAGGAAAAGAAAACACTGTTAAAAAATCTATACTACAACAAGACTGCCTAGGTAAGCAAGAACTATAAATACAAAAGCAATATAAGTCAAAGGAATATTTAACTACGCAGATTTTTAAATTTCTTTACATCAAATACATCACAAGATAAAAAAATAAAACGACAAGCTAGGAGGGAAAAAAAATCACTAAATAGGATGAATGAAAAATAAGCAGCACCATGGTTATCAACAAGACCAAGTGCCTCACAAGCATTAAAAAGGGAACAAAGAAGAAAGGGCTTATTGGTCCATTTTCTAAGATTGGTAAGTTAAAGCATAATCATGCTAACATTGGAAATAATGAGATGCACTAGTCATAGGGAGTGAAAGAACATCTAATAACTTTAAGGATTATGTATTTTAAGTGAGCCCTAAAAATCTGCAGATTGATGATGTTGCATTTTGTAAACTCACACTGTTACTAAGAATGTTTAGATCCAAAAAGCACCTTGTAAATGTATGGAAAAGATGTCCATTACACAAAATGTATTATTAGTTAAACTTGACAAAATAGAAAAAGTACATCTTGGTTCATAACACGTCAAAACTAACAATAGTAAATTGCTTCATCTGTTTTATGAGTTTTGTAGAAAACAAAACAAGCAGAAGATTGGTGAAGGAGTTGTGCTGACAAACCAAAGGCACAGAAATCAAATCCACCAAATGCTCTGTGACAGTTAAGTGGGCAATTTCCACTTGTGTGATGATTAACTCCCTCTGAAAACCTGCTGGAGGGGCCAGCTATGAGTCAGCTCCAACTCAACAGTACCTAATAACAACAACAACAAAATACATGGAAGAAGCAATACAAATTGTGACCCAAGTGACACCAAACAACAGATTCCAAAGAGCACAGAAAAAGCTAACAAATCTGTATATTCTTTCCACGATGTCAGTTACAAAGAGAAATGATAAGTACTGAAGCTCAATTTTAAATTGGGATGGGAAACTAATGGGATTGTCTGGAAAAGAGAATTCTTTTGGAAATATTTAGAGAAGAAAGATATAGAATACAGAAACTGCTGAACAATGTTTATGAGCCAAGAGTTCAAAATTTAACTAATGATCAGTTACTGTGACTCTTAACAGTAATTAAAAAGAAAAATATAAAGATTTCTTACTAACCTATTAAAAATATTCTCAATGAAAAATATGCACAACATGAATAGAAAGCTCAGCAAAGAAATATAAAAGTTCAAAGTGTTAAATAAGCACAACTCTGTGACTCTTGGCAACTCAGTGAATATAAAATTAACTTAAAAGGAAGTTTTAAAATGGTTCTGTTTTTGTTCTTTTGGCAAAAGATCTTTGTCAACCAATAAAAGTCATCACTGGCAAGAGAGCAATGAGATAGCACTATTTGACAGTTACGTTTAGAATGTCAACTGGCAAAGCTTTTCTGAAAAGAAATTTCCCAACACAAGTGAAAGAATTTTTAAAATATCCTAGAATCCTAGGAAATGCATCCACAGTAGTATTTGAATAGCAAAAACTAGAAATTAAATAAAGAAACCGTGTTTGTGGTACTTACAACGTGTTAAAATATTCTTAAAGAACATCTATTAAAAAATGCCCATAACTTACTATATTTTAAACCTAGGCTAAATAATCTACACATAACACGAGAACAATCTCATAAATCAAAATGTTAAAAGGACTAAAGGAGAGAGAAAAGCAGTTACTTTTCATCTTCTTTTTTTTTATTTAATATATTTTGGGGGGGGAGGATGTGTGTGTGTGTGTACACCATCAAGTCAGATCTGACTGGTACAGGAGGAAATTGTGCCTCCTTTTCCAGCAAAGCATCTGGTGGATTCGAACCACACATCTCAAGGATTGCATTGCAGCTTCTTGCCACTAGGCTACCAGAGCTCACCTATCTTTCATTTTCTTAACAGTTTTCCATAACTTCTGAATGTTTCCTAAGATCACATGAATGGTTTTATAACCATCCTGGCCTAATGAATAAGGAGTTGCACTGCTAACTCTAAGGCAGCAAGTGTGAATCTACCAGCTGCTCTACAGGAGAGAGACAGGCAATCTTCTGTGTGATTTGCAGTCTCTGAAAACCCAAAGGAAGGTAAGCTATTAGTTGGTTCTGACAGTAATGATATTTTGGTGGTGGTTTTTAAAAAGACAAGGACTATCTTGGTTTATTTTTACTTTCATTAAAAAAAAAAAATCACAAGGGGAGCTCTGGTGGCCTAGTGGCAAGAAGCTGCACTGCAATCCCAGAGACTCATGGTTCAAATCCACCAGATGCTCTGCCGGGAAAGGAGGGAAAATCTCCTCCTGTACCAGTCAGATCTGATCTGATGGTACACAGACACACATACACAAAATAAAAAAAAAAAATCACGAACACAGAAATGGATGTGAGCCTTTCCAATGCCATAAAACGGCTTTCTGACTTTCTAAGTCATCTGGAGTCTCAGTTTTTCTCAAATGCAAAATGAGGATTTACATCTGTACATTTCACAGGTCATTCTGGAAATGAGACTATGTGAAAGTTAAATTTATTATTTATACAACCAGAAGATCTTTTATACTTGTACACAAAAAAAGTAAACATAAACTATGATTCACAAGGAGCCAATAAATTCCAGGTAGAATTTTAAAAGACCTAGAAAAGGTTGGCCAGTATATTTATCTTCCATACAGTCTCTGCATAATGCACAAGGCCAAGTAAGCAAATACTTTATATATTTGTCTATTACATCTGACATTTAAAAATTGTATTTTAAAAGATTTTATCTTTCTATTAAGTTGCCTGTAAAGAGAATGAATGTCACAAGAAGAAAAGGAGGTCTGCTGGCACAGTGTGTAAGCTCACAACTGCTAACTGAAAGATTAAGTTTGGATTCACTTACTACTCTATGAAAAAAGATATTCAATACCCCTCAGCGGCACAAGTCAAAATCATTGATTCTTCTGTCATCCTTAATCATTACTTAGCTTTCTGATGCATAGCAAGTAGCTGTGAAGACCACAGCCTGGATTAGACATACCTTAGTCTCCAGACTGACATCATTGCTCTTTAGCACTCGGGAGAGGTCCCTAACTGTGGACTTTCCCAAGGCAATTTGCTTTTTATTTCCTTACATATGTTCTAATGGACCACAGCACCAATAAGCTAGCAGAAGATACCCCTTAACATCCTAAATTTTTCTTGTGTTAAATCTGCCACTGAAGAAATCAGCCTCATGTAAAACCTATTTTCATTTTCCTATCTGGCTGCCTAAAAGTGTATCAGACTGACAAGTGATTTTAAATTATGCCACCTGAGTTTGAATGTTGACTATCAATAACTAGGTTCCTAATATGTAAAACTGAGATTAAAAACGGTACCTGCCACACTGGGACACTATGATTAAATAAACTACAAAACTTATCTTTGCAGAGCCTGCTGACAATAAACACTAAAAGCAGTAAGCACTCTGTTTATTGCTTAGTATATAACATATACTCCACACACAAATGCTCACAACCACCATGTGGAGAAGAAAAGTGTTTATATCCATATTTCAATTAAAAGAAGCAGGCTCAGAAAAGTCAACCTTTACTTCACATCACACGGCTAGTAATAGAGCACAACTTCAACACCAAATAAATACAGCTTGGCTTCAAATTCCTTCCTTTCTTCATATGGTGTGCACTAAGTTAATTCCAACTCATAGCACCCACACAGGACAAAGTGTCCAGTGGGGAAGATTATAATTAATTTACCCCGGAGAGCTACATCAGTGTTTAAAGGGCTGATTTCTTGGTTAGTATCCAAGCACTTTAGCACCATAGTTTAAGGATCCTTCTCTTGATGCTATGGCTAGTTACTTCAAAATAAATAGCAGTACTGGTTCATGTCCTGCCTCTCAGATGTCATCAAAATAATTCTCCAGAGGCTTAAGCTCTTAAATTAGGCATCTCTTAGTACTCAAACTAATGTTTTTCACATTATAAGTCTCATTCTCTGAGATGTTCATTAAAGGATCCTTTAAGCCTTTATAAATCACTGGACCAGACAAAATGTGTCTCAGCATGTAGTTAAAAAAAAATCTCGCATTGAAAAACAAGGAACTCATGCAATATTATTCAAAATGGGTGACCCTGGAGGACATTATGCTGAGTGAGGTATCTCAGTCACAAAGGGACAAATGCTATATGGTGCCACTGTTGTAGAATGAGGCTGATACAGGGTGGGGTTAAGACTGAGAATAACTAGATGAAATATGTTTATGGCATTGAAGTCTATGGGGGAGAGAATAGTTTAAAAGTTTTATACTATAGGGCATTATGTTTATCGTAAGAGTATGGAATGAGGGTTGCAGAGTGGATTATATTTGGGGTTGGGGTGGGGTTGGAGGAAGTGCGGGGGGTATTGTGTATCAATGAGGGAGTTTTTCTTTTGCTTTTCAAGGAGAGGAGCTAAGGGGGGGGAGCGGGGAGAAGGGTGCAACAATGAATAAATGGAATTCCAAAATCTCTGTAGATGTTCATTGAAATAAAAAATAAATAATTTAAAAAATCAATCTCAGTAAAACAAAGCTTTTCAAGTAACATATATAAACAGATACAGTAAGACATGTATATAAACTAATTAAAAGCAGGAATGAAAAAATGCATTTTACTATCACCAACAATTATCCAACTGCCAACTTACCTGTTAGTGGAGCCCCATGAAAAGTTTGTGATCCCTGATATCCATCAGGCATAGAGTCTGGTCCATAATTCTCTGTGGGCCAACGATGAGGGGATGCAGAGTTACCACTATTTAATTTCAATTCCTGCATTTCTTTCTTTTGGGGAGAAAGAAAAAGAGAGAAAACAATGTTAAATAGTCATATCATGCCAGAAACAATGCATGGGCATACATTTTCAATTTCTTTCCTGACAGTATCTTTTAATAGATTCTATTTTCTAGAGAGATCTACAGAAATATATGGCTGTCTTAATAACATGATTTTGTTCTTGCTGTTAGGTGCCGTCAAGCTGATGACTCATAGCAACACAATCAATCTGAACCCTAGCCTATCCTACATCATGCTCACAATCCCTGATAGACTCTAGCTCATTGCTACAGGTCCTCTGGTGGCCTGGTGGCAAAGAAGTTGGACTGCTGACCCTAGGGCATACTGTTCAAATCCACTAGCCGTTCTGTGAGAAAAAGATGATGAATCTCCTACTATGCAATTTAAGCCTCTAAAAACCCCCTGGAGAATTCAGCAGTGAGTCAGTTCCAATGCAATGGCAAGCAACAACATTTTTTGTTGTTGTTCAATATGATAAAATATAGCAACAAGACTAGAATGTGGTTTTTAGAAGATTATAATAAAACCACTGACAAGCTAATAGAGGAAAATAAGATGATGAAATAATAAACCTCAACTTTTTAAAACTTTATCTAGTCCTTTCACTTCCTATGATGCTGTTGTTGTTAGGTGCCATGAAGTTGAACAGACCCACAGCGACCCTATGAACAAAAGATCTGAAACCTCTCCTGTCCCACACAATCCTCACACTTCCTGACACAGTAGAGCCCACTGCTACAGTCACCTTGTCAATCCACCTGGTTGAGGGCCTTCCTCTTCTTTGTCAACCCTCCACCCTACCCAACATCATCATGTCCTTCTCCAAGGAATAGCATCTCCAAGCAATATGTCCAAAGTGTATTAGGCAAAGCCTCATCATTCTTGCCTCCAAAGGGTTCTCTGGCTGCACCCTCTCCAAGGCATATCTATTCGTTTTCTTGGCTGCCCATGAAATGTTCAGTAATCTTCTCCAACATCTCAGCTCAAAGGCATCAATTTTTTTTTTCTGTCACCCTTATTCACTGTAGAGTTCTCAGACGCACAGCTAGTAATCAGAAAGAAAATGGCCTGAATCAGATGCACTGTAGTCCTCAAACTGACATCACTACTCCTCAATAATTTGGAAAGGTCCCTAACTGCAGATTTTCCCACTGCAATGCGTCTCCTTATTTCCTGACTGTTCATACCAAGGATGTTAATTGTGGATCCAAACAAGATGAAACTGTTGAAAATTTCAATCTCCTCTCCTTTATAACATGGCCTGTTGGTTCAGTGGTAATAATCTTTGTTTTCCTGATACTGAAATGCAATCCACACTGAAGGCTGCATTCCTTGATCTTCTGCAACAAGTGCTTCAAATCCTTACTTTCAGCAAGCAATGTTGTGTCATCTACATAATTCAGGTTATTGATGAGTTTTCCTCCAATCCTGATGTCACACTCCTCTTCATAGGGTCTAGTTTCTCGGTTAATTTGCTCAGCATATAGACAAACGCCTTTACATAGTCAATAAAGCACAAACAGACATTTCTGTGGTATTCCTTACTTTCAGCCAGGATCCATCTGACATCAGAAATTATATCCCTGCTGCCACGGTCTCTTCCAAATCCCACTTGAACTTCTGGCAATTCCCTATCTATGTACTATTCCAGCCATTTTGTAATGATCTTCAGCAATATTTTGTTAGCATGTGTTATCAATGAAATTGTTTGATAATTTCCACATTCAGCTGCCATCTAATTCATTCCTTCTATAGTCCCAACCTAGATCACTGGTAGTGGTTGTTATTAAGTGCCAACTTGTTGACTACACACTTGGTACCAACACCTAGGAAATCAAGACAAGTTTCACTGGGAAAACTGCTGTCAGGAACCTCTCCAGAGTACTGACAAGCAATGATGTCAGTCTAGGACTAAGGTGCACCTGATCCAGGCCATGGTCTTCACAATTAATGACTTTAAGCTGTGGTACTGGAAGACAGTATTAAATATACCATGGACTGCTAGGAAAACAAATCGGTTTACCCTGGAGAGGGTTAAACCAGACAAGGGTTTTGAAGCTCCATCTGACATACTTTGGGCATGCTGCAAGGAAAGGGACCAGTCCTTGGAGACAGACATCATGCTTGGAAGGGTTGAGGGATAGCTTAAGAAAGGAAGACCTTGGATGAAATAGACTGACTCCAAAACAACTATGGTAAGAATACCAAAATATAACAGAACAGCAAGCAACAAATGCTGGCGAGGATGTGGAGAAACTGGAACTCTTATTCACTGTTGGTG